ACTATTATATAGTGTTTTTACTCACTTATCGTCTTTCTGTAACGACATTATTTCTCCCACAGCATCAATAACATGCACATCACTTCCTGTGGCAGATTATGCAAATTAGGTGATGACGTCTTTTAGCGACTTCTAGCGACTTTTAGCACAGCCAATAGCTACTTTCCTTACTGAGGAGTTGGCAACACTGCTTCTCTCTCAATACGTCTCCGGATGCCATGAACCATGGCTGAAATGATAAAGTAGGTTCAATCTGCCTAATTGAAACACATTCATTAAAATCTCGGTCCACTACTGATCTGTGATCCGCGCTAGCTTGTTAGCTCTACTTCCTGTTTACTACAGTCAAGCACAACCTCAGTATATGATGAATCACGATTTGCATGGCCTCGTTCATTTGCTCAAATGGATGGAAACTGATTCTCATTTTCTCTTCTTTGTTTTTTTTTCATCAAAATCTGCATCACGTTGGGATGAAAACAAAATTTTAAATTTATATAATTCAAATCCTTCTTCTAATACATGAACTGAGGCTTCGGTTTTGTTTTTTTCGGCTAATACTTTGTTTTATTTTCTTTTGCGCTCTTTTCTACTGAGCTACATCCATCTTTCGAAAAACTTCAGCTTCTCTGTCCCTGCTCTGCCCACTGGTTTTTAAGATGTTTTTTGCTCACTAATGTTCTTTAACAAACCTTTACATGGTATCTGGAATATTACAGAGATTAAACCATGTGAGCATTTTGATCATACCTTAAACACTGCAAAAAACTATCTAGAAATAAGTACAGATTTCTTAAATTAGGTGAATTTACCCTTAATTTGAGTAAGTAAATAAGAAGATTTGCCAATGGAATGAGTATTTTTGCTCTTAAAATAAGATCAGTTAAAAATGCACTTGAAATAAGACAATGCAGTTGTTTTTTTCTTTTTTTTAAATGTAAATTATGTTGTTCTATTGGCAAAGTGTCTCACTTACCCCCTAAATCCAAGAAAGAAAATATTTTATTTTAAGAAAAGATTTGAATTTTTTGCAGTGGATTATGCTTGCACAATAATTGATATTGGATTTAAATGACAGGTCCTTATAAAAAATAATTTACTTCTTCTTGAGAATATTGCAGAAAAAATAAATCATATAATAATTTCCATGGGTGATGCTAAGAAAGTAGTCCATGCATTTGTTACTCGAAGGCTTTAGTCGTAAAATTCTTTACTACCATGAAGTCCTATAAATGTTCTTCCGTGTGGATGATGTTTAACCACATCCTGTAATTTCTGCCAGTAACATGTGAACATCAAACTCAATATAAGATAGCACAAAGATTTCAACTTCCCAAGTAGAAATTGGATTTCCAGAGAAAAAGATATTTGGTTTCTCTTCAGTGATAAGAGAAACATCAAGCTAATCTTGAGTTTTGTGAACAACAAGCTCAGTGCAAATAAAACATAAGGTTTTATTAATTGGCGCAAAGGTTTATTTCTTTTTTTCATTCATGCCCTTCATGATTCAAATATGAATCATGAAGGGCATGAAGGTTTTGGAGGTTTTGCTTGTGATTAAAGCAATGCCCTTCATGATTTGAATCATGAAGGGCATTGCTTTAATCACAAGCAAAGCCTCCAAAATGTGCTCAACAGCTGCTTTCCAATTGTTAAGTTTCATGAAGCAAAAAAAAGGGAAAACTTTAAAATAAATTTTGTTACAACGGTTGCAATCAGGGCTTAACTTTAACTGCTTCAGCAGTGGCATAGCACAGCCACTCTGAAAAGCCACTTTTGATTTCTATATGCATTTTTGTAATTATAAATTTCTCAAAGAGGGTTTGAATTAATAAACAAATTGAAATGCAACACTAGAAATCCCATGAGCCTGCTTGCTTTTTCTTTTCTTTTTTTGCGTGTGTTTTCTCTGTGGTCCGTTTGTGACCAATGTCACTATAGACGGGGAGATCCTGTGGAGAGCACGGCTATGAAGCTGTGGGGCAGTGACTTGGCGGCAGATTCCAGGTTTCAGAGGAACATTACCACTAATGCTAAAAATATTTAAGAACATAAAAGAGAAAAAATACTAATGCCATCTATAATGTACCCTCACCGGTCACTTTATTAGGTACACCTGTCCAACTGCTTGTTAACACTTAATTTCTAAGCAGCCAATCACATGGCAACA